TCTACATACGAAGAGAACCAAGTTGGATGGCTCTCAGTGAGCAGAACTAAGATGAGATGTTATTGGAATCTGTACATTATCCCCAAGTAATCAAAGCACTTCGATAGTTCATAGAAGCTTTCCATTCCGCATTTGCAAATTAAACTAGGATGTAAAAGCAATCCAATCAGGAAGAGAAATATCTCAGTGAGAAATAAGCGACCTCACCACAACGCTTGGCACATAAACACCGCAGCTGTCACCATTATAACTGTGAGCCGATTCAACTAGATTAATATAACAAGCAAATTGCTTGTTGATCGACTATTAATGGTACATTTCGTTCTGCTTCCATATGAAGATGACTCACTCATAGATCTTCTATTATCTGGCTCTGAGCGAATGAAAAACCTAACCTAATTTATTTGACTGTGAACTTCTTGAATCGAAATGGTTGATAACTAGCTTGTGACACCTATTTCACCTCGAGGGAGAGAACGGTAATTATACTCTGGGCAATATGTAAAACACTAGTTGACAAATTGCACTGTAAGTTATATTCTCAATGTAGGAATTTTCTAGTTCTTAGTGCATAATAAATTACCTGCTACGAATTGCCAATTTTAGTCCGAGTAACGACATTCCGCTTGGCTTTTTCAATACATCAGATGACTGTTTGTGTTTTATGAATCATTACTTTTGCTGAAGATTTTAAATGTGTTGTTATTAAACAACTTCTATTAAACAGCTTGGCAAAATCACCAATTCCATGAACTTTATTAGAACAAATATTTCCAAAAACACTTTCCTTTACGGGAGTTAGAATAGAATAATAACAGAGTAGATAGATATGATCTTTATTGATATCTGTTCCCAAACAAACATGATAAAATGGGTCAATAACCCTCGATACTGCTTGGAAGACAACGTTTTGTATTATTTATATTAAAATAGACGTGTCTTTGTTGATTACCTATCTCATTATGGTTAATGCTGGGTCACCGTTACCCAATGAGCAAAGCCTGGGAATCACGTGATACACCAGTACGGTACAGACCACTTGCCAGGTGTGTATTTGGCGACCTTAACAGCGTGGTAGGACGTTGGAAGTGCAATGTTGATACATTTATAATATGCTTTAAGCCACATTTCCCCTCAACGAAAAAGGTGTGTTGTAATCTGTTACGTTGGATGTTTATCCTGGAAACGCTAATTGAAGAGGTTTTATTACAACCAAAGCAACATTGGAAACCTCTGGTTATTGAGAGAAAAATAAAACCATTTCAATTTTGTAAACGGTTTGTACGTCCATAAATTTAATTGGTGAAGTAATTCTTTTCATTAATCACACAACAGCGGAAAGTGTTTTAAGCCATTGAACATA